TCTGAAAAAAAAAAAAAAGTATTTCCTTGAGTGAAAGATGCCAGGGGCAAAAGTCCTCTCACTGTTTGTTTCCATTGTTTCCATTTCTATGAAGTGTACGAACAAACAGCAGTAACTCACAGTGACAGGTCAGAGGGTGAGGACCGGGCACCAGGGAACTTCCCGGGGTAATAAAGTTTCAAGGTCTCACAATGATGGTAATAAAACTATGTATACGGTTGTCAAAACCCATCTGCTGGCTGGGTGCGGTGGCTCACGCCTGTAATCCCAGCACTTTGGGAGACCGAGGCGGGAGAATCACTTGAAGTCAGGAATCCGAGACCATCCTGGCCAACGTGGCAAAACCCCATCTCTACTAAAAATACAAAAATTAGCCGGGCATGGTAGTGGCCGGCTGTAATCCCAGCTACTTGGGAGGTTGAGGCAGGAGAATCACTTGAACCCGGGAGATGGAGGTTGCAGTGAGCTGAGATTGCACCACTGCCCTCCAGCCTGGGTGACAAGAAGGAGATTCCATCAAAAAAAAAAAAATCTACTTGAATAATGGGTGCCAAGGGCTGGGGAGGGGGTTGGGAAGTTGGTGTCTAATGAGGACAGAGTAGAATTCCAGTTTTGTTGGAGTAAAAACTCCAGAGATGGGTAGTGGTGATGGTTACACACCAAGAGAATGTACTTAATGCGCCAAATTCACCTTAAAATAGTTCATATGGTACATCGCATGTTACTACATGCTATTGTATTTTACCACTATAAAAAATAATAAGGTTTTTAAAGAAATAACTGGAGAGAAAGCCTACTTGAACAGCTGGAATAGGCATTTTATTGAGTTAGCTATGCCTTGACTTAAAAAAGGTTGGGAAAATAGTGGCATGGAGGTTTGCCACACATAATTAGTTGCAACAATTATATGCACATTAGCGAGAAAAGTGAACCCCACTGTTTCTTCTGCACAACAAGGATGCTTTAAGAAACGACCTTGGACATCCTCCCTGCGGCAAAACGAGCTTCAGGCGGCAGAGCCTGAGCCACGGTCCGCAGACGGCAGAGGGCGCGCGCGAACCGCCAGGCCGGCCCCTCTCGGCCTCCACCTGCCCTGCCCGGAGCGCGGGTCCCGCCCCAGGCTGCTGGACGCCGCCAGACCCTTGCCGCTGCCTTGGAGCCTCCCTGGCCCCTCGCAGGATCCTCCCCAGCCCCAGAGACCCCCGAGGCGGCGTCTACAGGCCCAGGCCGGGACTGACACCGCAGCCCCCTCCCTGGGTAGCGCCTCCCACCCGAGTCCACACCTGTGCCAGGAGGCGGTGCGGCCGCCGAGCTGAGCTGAGCTGAGCTGAGCTGAGCTGAGCTGAGCTGACCTGGTCGGACACCCAGGCCCTTGCGCCCACCGCCCGGGCCGGCACCTGCTGGGTGTAAAGGCAACGTGGAACCAAGCAGCGGGGCTGCAGAAAAGCCACCGTCCTCTCCGGGGTGCCACCTCCCTAGCCCTCCACCCTGGTTGGGGCAGAACCTAACGCTCTCAGTGCTTATTTGCATGAAAATGACCACGAGGATTATAACAATCGCCACCCAGGGCACTCCGCTCCCCAGGGACAGCCCAGGCCCTGCCAGGGAAGCTGTATTCCCCTCCAAACCATCCCCTGACAGCCTCCAGGAAGGGCTCAAGGTCGCCGCCTGCCACCTGCTCCAGCCTGGCCAGTAGCTGCCCAGGGTATAACCAGAGCTCTTAGGGGACAATGGGCACTCCCAGGCCACAGGCAGATGCTGGCCACATCCCACCTGGGCAGAAGACACGCCCGTCCTTTTCCCATCCGGCTTACCTGTGCCTGGCAGGGGAACAAGCCAGGTGAGGCTTCTCCCCAGGCGACAGCCCCTCTATCTAATGGCCAACAGCTGCCACGCCTTCGCGTCCCAGGCCCTTCCAGGCCTGTGTGCCTCCTCAAGGACCTGCTTTGCCCCCTCTGGGTCTCAGCCTGAATCCTCCTGCCCCTCCCAGGGCCAAGCCTCCGCCACTTTTCAAACCCAGCAAGGCTGCATCCCGCAGCCCTACTCACCTGGCCCCTCATCCGGGTCTGGCACCTCCGGCCTCAGGATCCCCCTCCAGCCAGGGCCTCCCTTCTCGCAGGGCCCTCCCGCTTCGGGGCGCAGTCCCAACCCCAACAACCCCTAGGCTCCCAGGGTTTCCTTCCGGGACGGCCCCACTCTCGCCAAGGAATTCGTTTGTGCTGTGTGCCAGCTCTGTGCCAGGAACGCACTCCACCGCCACCCCTATCCCATACGGGCCACTGCCGCTCCCTTCAGGCTGGCCAGGGAGGGGAGCTGCAAGCGCTTATTAATCGCCAACTGTGTACTCAGTTCTGAGGCTGGCAGGAAGACTGAGTATGGAAAGGGGGAGCCCCGAACCCCGCTCAGGACCCCCTGTTGCCCACAGTCCTCCCCACCCCCAGCCACCACCTTTCGCACCCTGAGCTCCAGGGTCCTGGTGCCGACTGAGGGTTCTGCGGTCGTTGCGCCGGCTTCATTTTCTGTGGCCCTTCATTCAACCAGCGACCGAAGCCCCCTTCAGAGCCCCAGGGTGACCCTGGGGGGTCCAGGCTGGTTGGGGGATTGGGGGCAGAAGGTGGATCCCCCCACGCTCCCTCTCCACCAGGCAGCGGCGAGGAGGCCTTTTAGAAATGTCCGGGGTGTCTGGTGACACCCCTACCAAAAAAAATCATTACCTTCAAAGACTCCCAGGCTCCTAGGCAGGGGTCTTTGTCCCCTTCCTCCGGAACAGCGAGGCCTCCCCGCCCTCCCCCTGCAGCGCGAGTCTGACCCCCTTGCTCCCGCCCAACACCTGCCCAAGGTGCAATTACCCGTGCGTTCTTCCTGCCCCTGACTCGCCGCGTCCCGCCGCACGCGCGGAGGTGTTCCCACAGCGGTCGGCGGAGGACGGCCCCTCAACAACCCGCACGGGGGTCGTCGCGGCGGCTTTCCACGGAAGCGGGAGGGCGGGGGTCGTGGGGTGCGGCGGCGTCCTGGGGAGCCCGCCCCCGGAGTTCGCGGATGTGTGACCCGAGGCAGCCGGCTCGCCTCTGAGGGTCCCCGGTCCGCCCGGGTGCAGGGGGCTCCGGCTCCGTCCTGCGGGGGTCGCGGCGGGGCGAGCGCAGCCGCTGCAGGTAAAACGCCGCGCCCGGGTCTGGGGAGGGCTCCCCCGCGGCGGCCCCGCGCCAACAAAGGCCGGGCGAAGTGGGGAGCGGCGCCGGCGCCTGCCCGGGCCGGGGGAGGACGTCGCGCCCGGGGCCGCTCGGCTGGACCGTCCGGGGTCTGTGCGACGCGGCTGGGGGCCCGGGTGACGCGGAGCGCGGGGCCGGGAGGGCTTCCTGGAGGCGGGGGCCCGGACGCCGCGTGGTCCCTTTAAGAGCCGGTCCCGGGGTGAGGACGGAAGGCGGCGGCAGCGCGACCCACCCGCACCCTGCACCCCGCCCCCCGCGGCCACCGCCTCGGCTTCACCCCGAGCCCGGGCTCCGCTGACGTCACCTGCCCCCGAGCCGCGCGAGCTGATTGGCTGCAGGTGACGTCAGGGGCTTTTTTCGCTCGGCATGACCTCATCCCCGCCGGCGGCCCCGCCCTCCGCCCCGGGCCTGTCACTCGCGGCCGAGCGCGGCGGCCGAGCCAGCTCCCCCCACACCGCCCCGCCGGACGCCGGACGCCCGAGCCCGAGCCCGAGCCCGAGCCCGAGCCGCGCCGGAACCGCCCGGCCGCGCCCGCCGAGCCGCGGGGCTGGGATGCGCGCCGCGAGCGCGCGTGCCCGCCCGCAGTGCGCGCGCCCCGGCCCGAGCGAGCGCTCCCCGCGGCGTTGGCGGCGGCGACGGCGGCGACGGCGACGCGGCCCGCGCGCTCCCCCGGCCCCTGCCCCGGCTGCGCGGGCCCCCGCCGGGCCCATGGACGGCGCAGCCGAGCGGGCGCCCTGAGCGCGGCGCGGGTCCCCGGAGCGCCCCCGAGGCGAGCGCGAGCGAGGTGAGCGGAGGCGCCGGCAGGGCGGGGCGGGGGCGGGGACGGGGGCAGGCGCCGGGGACGGTTCACCGGCCCGGGCCGGGGGGCGGAAGGCGCAGCGTCGGGGGCGCTGGGGCAGCGGCACCCGGCGGGCGCCCGGGAGGAGGAGGCGGCCCCGGAGTGAGCGGCCCCGGCCGGCCAGGACGCTCGGGACAGGGAGGCCCCTTCCGCGCCTTCCGCAGCGCCCGGCGGACCCGGGCCCAGCCCACGCCCGCCCGCCGCGTTGCCGTCCTTCTCCACGCAGCTCCTTCTTTGGGTGCGCAACGGGGGGGACAAAAATCCGGGACCCACCAGGGCCACCTGAGATCCAGCGCGGATCTGCGCGACCCCCCAACGTCCCGAACGGCACCCCCGCGGGGGCCAGAACCGGAGCAGGCGGACCCTGGCCCGGAGCCGGTCCGGGAGGTGTGGAGCCTCGGCCGTGGGAGGGACGCGACGGCCTGTGGCGTGGGACACCCGAGAAGGGGCCGTCCCCTGTCGCAGGGGAGGGCTGCAGATCCATCCCCCCAAATGTCCACGCCGCCCCGCACCCCCACCCCGGGGTGCCCAGCCGGCCCCTGAGGGATAAAGCCCCTGCGCCCTTCCGCCTGCTGCAGAGGCAGCCGCGGCGCTGGGGGAGGGGCTGGCACAGCCAGGCTGCTGCAGCCACCTCGCTAGGCCTAGCTGCCCAGCCTGGGTTTCGGAGCAGACCAGGTGGACGGTACCTAACAGTCTGGCTTGGAGGGGAGGGGGCAACAATAGGCCCAGCCCCCACAGGGTCACCCCTTCTGGGAGAATCTGCCTCCGTCTCCCTGCTCCGGGGTGTGTGTACGGGCCTCTGCTGAGGGGAATAGGGGCTCTGTGCTGCAGTGATGGGGGGCGGGGACGCTGTGGGATGGAGGAGGGGGTGGCAGGATGTAGTGTGGCTCCGCAGTGCTCTTGCTATGCAGCTTGGGGTGGGGGTGGGGTGCTGCAAGCCAGGGAAGCTCCTTTTGTGCCCCTGCGGGGGTTCCGAGGGGAGGTCCAAGCCCGGGCACTCTCCCTTGCCTCCCTTCTGGCACAGCCCACCCAGAGACACTGTTGCACCTAGGCGGTGCAGGGGTGAATGTAGCACCCCAGGCCCCCAGCCCTCCACCAGGAGGACAGTCCCATGCATTCACTGATAATAAGCACTGGATGCGCATGGCAGATCATGTGACCCCAGCTGGAAGTTCATCCTGAAGTCTCCCTGAAATACCTCCTGCTTCAGCCAGCCTGGGGCTGCAGGAGTGTGGCTGGGCAGGTTCTATTCCCCTGGTGCCCTCTGTCCTCGGGGAGGTTTCTGGGAATAAAGTCCTATGAACAGAGGTGCAGAAAGAAGCTTAGAGTCAGTCTCTGCTCCAGAACCCTTCTCTTCTCAGGCTGGGGCTGAAGTCAGGGCCTAGAGGCTGCCACTGGGCAGGTGTCTCGAAGGGCCTTCGGCTGGGGCCTGGTGAGACCTAGGTGTCACTTCTTGCAGAAGGCAAGGAAAGGGGCAGGCCCACATCGAGAGAGAGGTGGTTCTGGACATGAGAACTGCACCGGCTGAGGCTCCCTCTGCTGGAGTTGCTCAGGGCAGTGAACCTTGGAAGCCCCAGGCTGGTCCTGGTGTTTAGCGTGTGGCACAGTGACCAGGAGGAGGGACACAGGCCCGGTGGGAAGGGAGGGAACCTGGATATGTCCTCACGGCCCCCTGTGCCAAGCCCTCCCATCCCCTGCCCTACCCGGACCCTGTTCTGGGATCGGAGGGAGCCCCCAGCCCTACCCCACTTTCTCCCAGGTCCACAGCTTCCCCAGGCCAGCGGAACAGAGTGTAGGCCAGCTTGGGTCCTGCACCACTAGCCCAGGGAGCTGAGGGGATGCAGGGATGAGGGCATTTGGGGGAGCCCAGTGAGGGAAGAGAGCTGACCTGCATGAGTGCAGGGTCGCTGCCTCCCAGAGTCGCCACCCACCAGTCTCTCCCCAGCCTCCTTATTGTGACGATTTCTGCCTCCAGAGGCATCCGTGGGTGACAGTGAGCCAGACAGCTCGAAGAGCCTGCCTAGGTGTAAGGGGGAGACACAGTCCCATCCCCCCATGCTTGACAGTCCTGGCAGCTATCTCTGAAGGTCATGAGTCCCCATTTCTAGGTGCTGAGCAGAAGGTAATGTGGCGAGGATGCTGTCAGTTGAGAGTTGGGGGTGGCCTGGGACTCCCTGGTCCCATCTGTGCTCAGGGACAGGAATGTGCTGTGTAGAGGCGCTGGGTGTGGGAGTTTGTGTGTGTAAGGAGTCTGGAGCTGGCCCCCGGGGTACTGGAGTCCTGGGGTTCTCAGGGGATTCTGCATACAGAGGGCAAGGACGTGCGTGTACTCTAGTGTACGTCCAGCACCACATGTGTGCACACATTCACGCGTGGGTACTTGCACACAGGGCAGGTGGATTGTGGGTAAGGGACACCAGTGTGTGTGGAGTGGGTGTGCAAAGGGGTGTGTTCTGGCACACCTAGAGGGCAGTGTGCATGCAGCACCGGAGCCAGGCGTGCTGTGTCCCAGGGGAGGGTGGCTACCTGGTGCCTCCTGGAAGGTGTGGGCCTGGGAGGAGCCTTCTTGTGACTTTGGACTTGGAAACTGCTTCCTCCTGGGCTCAAAGACCTTTGAAGAGGGTGTATGGGGCTGTGCCAGGGGGCATCCTGTCCCCAGACCTGCCTGTCACCCCCCAGCCCCTAGGCACTGGAAGAGCAGGGCCACAAGTACTCAGGAGGGCTTGGCATGTGATGCCGTGAAAGGAGAGGCGTGAGACCAACACCATTCACGTTTCCTTACCTCTGTTCCCACATGGCCAGTGCTGGCCCCACTGATCTGCACCAGGCTGTCCTTAGTGTCTCCGTTCCCCACCCCACCCAACCTGCCCCATCCCTGGCATAGCTGGGCCCCGATCCTTAGCATCTGGGGAACCAGAGGTGAGGGACATGCCCCCCTGGGAGCTGTAGGTCCAAGGAGACCCTGTGAGGATGCTCTCCCAGAGGCCACCACAGCACGGAGGCTTCCTGCAGGAGGGGGCACCTGGTCAGCCCTTCGCAGTACAGAGAAGGCCTCCGAGGGGGTGGGGAGCCAGTGAGCTGCAGGGAGTGTGCTGGGCACAGCAGGTACTGGGAGTGGGAAGGAAGGTTAGGACCAGGTAGGGCAGAGGAGCGGAGGGGCTGAGGACTGGGCTCTGCACTGCCGGGCACCTGCCAGGGTGGGTGGAAGAGAGCAGGGAGGGGCGCGTGCCCACTCTGCAGAGGAGCCTGCTCCGTGGTGGTGGCTGCCGCAGGAGCAGCGGTTGCCTGGCACCTCTGCCGTTGCCATGACGACAGTGGAGGTGCTAACTTGCTAATGAGTCCCCTTCGGCTGCAAATAACAATACTGTTGTGGGTGATAGGCCCAGCTCCAGCTCAGGGTTGCTTGGGAGGCAGAGCAGGGACAGGTAAAGGCCGGGACCCATCCTCCCGCCCCTCCAGCCCCTGCCCACTGCCCTGCAGCTGGACTTGCCCTCCTCCCTCCCCTCCCTCTGGGTCTCAGGCCTGGCTGGCTGCACCGAGTCTCTCACTGAGTATCAGGACTCAAGGCTGTATGACGCCTAGGCCCTGGCTGCAGGGAGGGCGAGGGCCTCTTCTCACACCTGCCCTCCTCCCTGCACTGGGCCGTGTTTGCTTCTGTTGTTTTCAGTGACAGAGAATCCACCCCCACTTAACAGATGAGGACATTGAGGCCAGGGGCGGCTCCTCGAAGGACCCCCAGCCCAAGTGTCCTACTACTGCGGCCTTCTCGGGGTTCTGGGCCTCTGAGCTGGGCCCTTGGGTGTCGTATGGGGCACCTGGAGCCGCTGTCTCCCCAGGACCACACATCTGGGCCCTCGCCTCTCACCACCTGTGCAAGTCTCAGGTAGAACTCAGGAAGGACAAACAGCTCATTGAGGCTCTTCTGCAGGCAGTCAGGGACCCCCTTGGCAGGCAGAGACCCTCCACAGCAGGCAGGCCGCAGGCTCTTTTGCTGTTGAACTTGCTGGGTCTGGCCCTGGGGAGGGCTCCCAGGCCTCGTTCCCCACCCTGTGGTGGAGGCTGGAGCACCAGCCCAGGAATGGTGTCTGAGTGGGATCCTGAGGCCCCGCTGACCAGGTGCCACCGCAGTCCCTGGTGTCAGCTGTGGGGTCAGCTGAGGCTGCCCGTCCACAGCCAGGTGTTTCCCTGGCCTCTGGCAGCAGGATGGGTGGTGGGAATGCACAGAGGCCTGGGCCTAGTCGAGGCGGGAGGGGCCAGGCAGGGGCCAAGCTTGAAGTGTCTGGAGAAGGAGAGTGAGTGGGAGGCTGGGGCTCCTGGGCAGGTAGGAGCTGGGACCTGCCCCTCAGTGTGGAGTCGGGGCTGGGCCAGGGACGAGGTCCACACCAGCCTTGCACCTGCTGCTCTGTGAACTCTCCCATTGGCCCCCGCCGGCCTGGTAGCTGACCTGGAGAGTCCAGAAATGGTGGTGGCCTCTGTCCCCAGCCTGCTGTTGGCAGTGCACGGGTGTCCTCAGGGTGGCTGCCCCCAGTTCCCCCTGTGGCTGTGGGTTGGGGGTCTGAATTGCTGAGGGTCCACTGCCCACCGTAGCCCGCTCTGCACAGGGCCCAGGGTGCACCTATCTGCCAGCCTTCCCTCACTCCTGAGCTGGGTGGAGTAAACTTCCTGACTGGCTGGCAGTCGTGGGGGCACAAGGGAGATGACCTTGCAGGAACACCCAGTGCCCATCTGTGTGTGACCCAGGTGTGGCCCAGGTCCCACCCTTGCCCCAAGCCTCAGTTTCCCCATAGTTGAAGCAAACTCATCATCCTTACACTGTGTGCCTCCTAAGGGCTGTGAGTCTAAAGTGGACCCAGAGGAAGGCCAGTCTTGACAGGTGACAGGGAGATGGGGCCCGGCAGTGGGGCAGTGACAGAGGCTTGTCACCAAGCCTGCCGGAGGGGCTTCCAGAGGCTCCATCCTCAAACATCCCTACTCCCCCTGCCTACCTGGCAGTCTGCCTTTGCAGACCATGCCAAGGGCCTGGTCCCTGCAGGGTACCCGACACTGACCTTCCTCCTAGGACTGCCCCACCCCTCCCATCCTGGGCCCCATCAGCCCCTGAAGGGGCTCCCTAGACCCCAGGCTCCGCTGGGGGAGGGGCACTCTGTGGGTGCGACGCACCCCTGCAGGAGCTGGGCACTCACCCCCAGCAGGCACGCGGCGTGCACTAAACCTCAGCCTGCAGGCCAGGAGGGCAGCAGTGGCAAAGGAGTCGTGCCCCCGTGCCCAAGCCCCTCCTGCACCCGCCTGCCATCCAGCTGCCCCCGGGAGCCCACTCTCCAGTGGAGGCAGCCCCAAGGCCACCATCCACCAGGGGCTGGATTATCGGCTTATGGAGCTGCGCTGGAGTCAAGTCTGCAGGGATTGGACTCCCTGGGGAGTCCAGGGAGGGAGGGGCAGGTGTGAAGACAGCAAGCCTGGAGGAGGGCAGAGAGCTGGACCATGAGGGAGGGTGAGGCGCCGTCCAGACCCCTGACTTGCTGGGGGTCCTGTGGTGGAAAAGATGGAGAGGTCACAGCAGGGAGATGGCTGTGTCCCAGGGATGAGATGGAATGTTCTGGAATGCCTAAGGGTGGGTGAACCCCAGGGCCCACAGGAAGAACCCCTGGCCTCGTCCAGCCCTCAGACCCTTCCCTGTGGGGCCCGTTTGCCCCCCTCTGCCTTGTTGCATCCTGCTGCTGGCCTTGTGACCTCGACGGGGTCTCACCAGAGGGAGAAGGGTCCCCACGGGCACACGTTGGGCTCAGATGTCCTGGTGGGCGCAGGTCCCAGCTCCGATCTGTCCTGGGGAGCCTCTGGGTGCCACCCAGGGACCTGCAGCACTGCTGACCGTCCCCCTGTCCCTGCAGGTCCGGCACCATGTGCTAGGTCACTCCCAGCGCAAGGCCACACCTGGGCCGTCGGAGCAGCCCCCCCTCACTTCAGGGGTCACCCTCCCCAGCACCCATTGCCCCACCATGGCCGGGGACCGGCTCCCGAGGAAGGTTATGGACGCCAAGAAGCTGGCCAGCCTGCTGCGGGGCGGGCCTGGGGGGCCGCTGGTCATCGACAGCCGCTCCTTCGTGGAGTACAACAGCTGGCATGTGCTCAGCTCCGTCAACATCTGCTGCTCCAAGCTGGTGAAGCGGCGGCTGCAGCAGGGCAAGGTGACCATTGCGGAACTCATCCAGCCGGCTGCACGCAGCCAGGTACCCAGCCCACTGCCCGCCAGGCGTGCACCACCTCCAGGGTCCTCAGCTCGGGCAGCACCCCCTCCTCTGCCCTCCGGTCCAAATTCGGCTCCTTGGGGTCACAGCCGGGGACGTGTGGAGCAGCCCCCCGGCACTTGCCTCTCACCACTGCCTGTTGCCCCTGCTCAGGGCACCCCCCCACATACTCCCGCAGCACCCCTCCCTACCCTCCCTCCAGGGCCTCCTCGCTCAGCTCTTGCACGGAGGTGCCGGGCCCTCCCCACGCAGATAGGACTGTGTGGCCGGGGCTGGCCCAGGTTCACAGAGGGGAGCCGTGAACAGAAGAGCAAGGTGTGACCACATGGCAGTGGGAGCGGCCCAGCTGGCCTGCACGGGACAGGGACAGCTGTGTGGTCCACTCCCCCTGCTGTGAGGACAGGAGGGGTGGTCAAAAGGCACATGTGAGCAGTCGGTGTCCCTGTCCCACAGCTCCCCCCAGCCCGCAGAGTATTCGGGGACCCAGAATTCTCTCTGTGGCCCCCCAGGAATATCCTTCTGGGGAAGGACAGCTCATTCCGCCCAGGACCATCAGGTGCAGCTGGGGAGGGGCCAGCGGGGCTGTTGACCTGTGAAGGTGGCGGCACCTCCTCTTTCCACTGCCTCACAGGGGGACAAGGGAGACAAGCTCTTGGCACCGGAGGCTTTGAGAGGGGTCTGGGTCACTGGTATGCCCTGTTCAAAACTGGGAAATGGGAGAACTCAAGTGGGATGGCCACTGGCCAGGAGTCCGCCCGCCCCAAGGCCAGAAGCGGCTCCCTTTGGCTTCCAACAAGGGGAATCCGGTGATTAATGACCCCCAGCGAGGACTCCCGGCAGAGTGCGATCCCATTGGCTGCCGATGACGTCACCCCAGCCTGGGGTTGGCGGCTCAGCTGGCTTAAGGGCTGAGTGTGCTTTCAGGGCGGGGGCACCGGTGCTGTCTGAGCAAAAGCCGCTCAACATCTGGGCCGGCCCTTGGGGTGGGGGAGGAGGGCAGGAGGAACCCAGCTTCCAGCTACTGCCTCCAGAATTGGTACAGGGGCCTGGGGTCCTGCTTCAGCCCTCTGTTTCTCCGCTGGGGGTTGGGGAGGGGATAGGGTGGGGAGCAGAATTGCTGGCTGCAGAGTTAGCCCCACTGAGAGCCCACACCCAAAGGCATCTGCCTCTGGAATTCCTGAAATGGGCTGAGCTTCCCTGTCCCTCCACCACCCCAGGAACCCAGCCAGGTCCTATGTTGGGCTCCCATTGCAGTCACCTGTGTCTCCTCCACACGGGCCTGGCCCAGAGTACCCGTGCCCTTCACCCATGTGCATGGCATGGGGGCACAGCTGCACAGGGCAGGAGCCCATCCCTCCGGGCCCCCATGGCCTGCTGTGTGGTGTGGGTGTGTGCACCTGGGCCTTTGGCAGATGGAGAGTGTGTGAGGTGCGTGACCGCACCTGCCCTCCCCTCCAGGCAGCAAGGTGACAGCTGCCTGCCTCCCATCATCTGATGCCCTTACTATTCCCTTGGGCCAGTGCGGCTGGGACAGGGCCAGGGCATTGAGAGGTGGAGGCAGCATGCTGACCTCTGCCCCATGGCCCCCAGGTGGAGGCCACGGAGCCACAGGACGTGGTGGTCTATGACCAGAGCACGCGGGACGCCAGCGTGCTGGCCGCAGACAGCTTCCTCTCCATCCTGCTGAGCAAGCTGGACGGCTGCTTCGACAGCGTGGCCATCCTCACGGGTGAGTCTGGGACCCATGCCTCCCTGAGGTACTCGCTCCGCCAGCAGTGGGGCTGGGGCTGGGGCGCCAGGGAAGCGTCTCCTGGGCACAGGGGCATCTCCATACATTGGTAGTTTTTTTTTTTTTTTTTTTTTGAGACGGAGTCTCACTCTGTCGCCCAGGCTGGAGTGCAGTGGCGTGATCTCGGCTCACTGCAAGCTCTGCCTCCCGGGTTCATGCCATTGTCCTGCCTCAGCCTCCCGAGTAACTGGGACTACAGGCGCCCGCCACCTAGCCCGGCTAATTTTTTGTATTTTTAGTAGAGACGGGGTTTCACTGTGTTAGCCAGGATGGTCTCGATCTCCTGACCTCGTGATCCGCCCGCCTCGGCCTCCCAAAGTGCTGGGATTATAGGCGTGAGCCACCGTGCCTGGTCACATCTGTGGTTCTTGAGGCCCCAGCATCCTCTCCCCAGGACCCCCACACTTCAGGACCCACCAATGAGTCTATCCTCAACACAGAAGGAAACCTCACAGTACAGCTGGGCTCTGGAGGTGTAGGGCGAGGCATGCAGGCTGGGAGCCCCTCTCCCTCCCGGGGCTCCTGTCAGAAGCGGGAGGCAGAGGCCCTGTCCTCTGGAAACTCAGTTGGAGCCGTGGGGTCCCGAGGAAGTCCCCCTGCCCCCAAAAGCCCAGCTAAGTGCAGGTTGCCTGGCAACAGCCTGGCATCAAGGCTGCTCACTGGGTCCCAGCAGACAGCCTCCAGGGATCCCTGTGGCCCAAAAGCAGCCTGGGCAACGGGCCCTAAGCCCTGGAGGCAGGGAAGCCACCTCCCTATACATACTGATACACACACTCACACACTCTCACTCACACACACACTCTCACATACACTCACACACACTCTCACACACACACTCACACACACATACTCTCACATAACATACATGCACACACACATACACTCACACTTATAACATGTGCACACACAGACACACACACATTCATACATACACTCACATACACTCATACACACACATACACACACGCACTCATACACTCATACATACATTCACACACTCACACTCTAACACTCACATACACATGCACACTCATACACTCACACACACACGCACTCATATACACTCACACTCTAACACTCATACGCACACTCATACACTCACACACACACTCACATACACTCACACACCACATACACACGCACACTCATATACACTCACATTCTCACACACACACACTCGTGGTCCCAGAGGGTTCTTTCTTCCCTTGGGCCGTGACTGAGGGTGTGTCTGTAGAATCCACTTCCTGGGGTCGGCCCAGGTCCCAGAGCCCGGTGGAGCTGGCCTGTCCCAGGGACGTGCACCCTCCCCCACCCAGGTCTGGGGTCTTTGTCTAGGCTCCTGCCACCTGGCCTGGGTTACCAGGGGCTGAGCCAGGCAAGCAGAGGGCATGGGGGACTGTGGGGTGCAGGCGTGGTGGGGTGGGGAGTGGGCAGCCAAGCCAGGCCGTTGGCCCTGTGTCCAATGGAAGCAGGTGCCTTCAACCCAGCCTGAGGGCGGCTGTAGGCGGATGAGGGGGTAACAGCCACTTTGACCAGGCCGACCTCCCAAGATGCCATGTCCTGGGACCTGAAGGGCACCCGGAGGCTCGAGGGTGGTCCGGTGTCCTGGGCAAGAGCATTGAGGCCAGGCTCCCTCCCCACCTGTCTGTGTGTAAGTCCAGCACCCTGCATTGTTGTGTGGTCCTGGTCATGGTCAGGGGGTGTCTGTGCATCTGTGCATGACTCTGGGCGTCTGGTGACCAGCATCTGCCTCTGCGTGTGTGTATGTGAGCGTGTGTGTGTGTGTGTGTGCATGTATGTGTGTGCGTGCGCATGTGTATATGCATGTATGTACATGCAGGTATATTTGTGTATGTACTCGCCTGTGCCTCTCTGGTGAGATTTGGTTTTTGTATACATACGTGTGAACTCTCAGAACCAGAAGCCATAGAATGACGCACTCTGATACAACCTTCATCCCCTAGGTTAAGTTTGAGGGCGGAACTAGTGGGTAGGGGAGGGGAGAGAGAATAGTTTGGGGCTTTTTACAGCTCACCAGGTGTAATAGGACCCCTCCCAAGGGCCAGTTTGCTGCCCTAGCCAGGAATGGGAGCCAGGAGGCCCTTCTCGGAGGTTGAGAAGGGTCCCAGAGTGGCACCTCCCTACCCCCAGGCGAATCCCAGGAAAGTCCCGAGCCTGGAAGGGCCTGTCTTCCCCCAAGGCCAGAGTGGGATGGTTTGCGGGGTGGGGCCCTCACCCAGCACTGGTGGGTGGGACAGCATGGGTGTGCAGGTGGATGTGGGTGTGGGTGTGGGCATGGGAGGGGCCGGGCCTGGGCTGGGATTTGCCAGGAGGGCACTCCCGGGGCCTGGTCATGCCCACCGACTCTCGGGACCCTCTGAGCTGCGTTTCTGTGCTGACATCTGCCCTGCAAGGTTGAGGCTGTGTCCCCTTTTCTCCAGAAGTGCAGCTGCCAAGGAGCCCCAGACCCCACGGTGTCGCGTGGGTTCACGGCAGCACCCAAGCCGGCCCACGGGCTGTGCCCTCAGACTCCCTCCCTCCCTGTGGTGGGCACAGCCCCTGCTCTGGCTGGCTCTTCGAAGAACCAGGGAGAGTGGGAAAGAATATGTTGGGTGGGGCAGGGGTGCTGCCCCTCACCCAGGAGAAAGGACATTCCGGGATCCCGCAGCACAGGTGACACAGTTCCGTGGCCCATTTGCGGGGACAGCAGAGGCCGGAACGTGAGGAACAAGCCTCTGTCCTCCCCACAACAGGGCAGGTTTGCGGGAAGCGGGAGAGAGTGGTGGGACGGGCCGCGCTGGGGTCCCAGGACTGCTGTGAACCCCACCTCCCCCTGCCACTCCTCTTCCCCCACTCCAGCTGTGCTGCTCACGATGCTGGGGGACAAGCGGCACGGGATGGGAGAGGGTCCTGGCCCTTTAGGCAGCAGCCCGCAGTCGGCCTTGGACCCTCAGCCGGGCAACTGCACTGCAAGTGGGTGGGGTGGCGGCCCCCGCCCTGGCAGGGAGTCCGGGGGTCACGGAGGTGGCGGGCAGAAGCGTGTCTGTAACTGTGGCCATAGGCGCTTGCAGGATCTCCCAGGTGGCACGGGGCGGGCACACATCCTGGTACACACGCCTTTTTTCAAGTCTGGGATTTCATTGTGAATAGCAGGTGAACTGCAGGCACCACCCCAGCAACCCCCGAGTCAGGGAGCAGGGATACTGGGAAGGTGCCTCTGGAGATGCCTGGGGGTAGGGGTGCCTCCCCAGGGCCCAAAGAGTGCTGGGACCTACAAAGGGTCCACTGAACCCCAACACCCCTCGCTTATTACTCACCCCCCAGAGCCTGGGTGGTTCTGACATCCCTGAAGCCTCGGTCCCTGCTAGGCCTGGCGTTCACAGTGGGGTCTGTAGGGACATCCACACTACCTGCTCCACCTGGGGAGGTCCTGGGAAGCTTCCCGGGGAATTGCTGCCACAGCTGTCAGGTCTCTGCACCTGTCCAGAGACTTCCCTGCCTTTACCTCCTTTGGGAGAGGTGGGAGGGTTCTGATGGAATCCCCACCACCACCACCACCACCACCTCCTCTGGCCAGGCCCTGGAGAAAGCAGAGAGTAAGGCACAAAATCCCTGGGAGAGGCACGGGGACGAGGAGAGGCAGCAGGTGCCAGAGGAGTCTGCAGGGAAGTGGTGCAGCCCCTCCCCCTCCCTGGGGCTGTCCTGCAGCAGGAACATCCAGGGCTCCCCCAGCTCAGAACAGTGAGCGGAAGCTACAGTGCCCAGCCCGGCCTCTGCTCAGGGGAACCTGCAAGCTGGGGTGTCGTTGGTGACAAGTCACCCACCTGCTTCCCCCTGTCCAGCCAGCAGATTCCCACAGAAGGGACTGTTCCTCCAAGGCTGCTGCCTCAACCCACCCAGCCTGGAGCTTCTCCCATCTCCACAGGCCCCCAGCGTCACGCCCTTTTTAGGGACACGGGGAGCTGGCACAGCAGGCGTTCTGGTTAGGGGTTTGCACACACTCCCCTATCCTCAGGAGTTATCCAGGGTGGCTGTACTCCACCCAGCAGGGGAGGACGGAGAGTGGAGGAGCCCTGGGGGCACGCGGGGCAGGCAGCGGGCACCCACTGCACATGTGGCACCAGCCTCTTCTGCAAACCAGGACAAAAAAGAGCCCTGGGGTTCCCAGGCCCTGAGCCCCCGCAGTCACTCCCCTGCCTCGTACGGTGGGATAGGGCAGGCCTCAGCCCAGCTGCCTCAGGCTCTGCACAAGCAGGAGCTGGCTTGCCATGGGGCTCGTATCCTGGGAAGTGTCACTGGGGTGGCGCTGGGCCGTGCTGGCCCCACCCTCCCAAGAGCTGGCAGCCACCAGGTGGGTGCTGCCCAGTTTCTGGTCCACCTCGGTGGTCACCCCAACCAGGTCAGGGGCAGCCAGGTCCATTCTCACCATGTGTCTTCGTGCTCATTATCTTCTTGGAGCCGCACGATGCCGTGCAGCAGGCAGGAGGAGGAAGCAGAGACCAGAGCCAAGGTGTGCACTGCCCATGGTCACTGAGTCAGACATCCAGGGATTCACACTTCAGTCTTTCCAGCTGGTGCGGGGCAGAGGATTTCCTCCCACCAGCCTATGGTCTCGGACTTGGACGTGTGTGGAAGGCAGCAGCACACGCCGGTCACATGTGCAGTGGGTGCCCACTGCCTGCCCCGCGTGCCCCCAGTGCCCAGGGCTCCTCCACTCTCTGTCCTCCCCTGCTGGGTGGAGTAGAGCCATAACCAGATGGCAAATGCCCCCAGGGCTGTGCCAGGGTGATGTCATGCCTGGGGAGGGGGAGGGCCTCTCAGAAGCCCTGGCCTCCTGGTCCTGGCACCTAAGCCCAGGCCTGGGGCTCCCAGCCAGCTGGAGGCAGGGAGGCATTGCATCAGCGCAGGGGAGGAGGAAGGCCCAGCCTGGCTCCCGGCTGTGGGTATGGGAGACGGGGGTGCTCATGAGGGCCTCTCCTCTGGGCTGTGTGACCCACACCCTCAGCAGGAGACTCCTGTGACCTCTGAGCCTGCCCCTGCCTGGGTCCAGCGCCTGCCGCACTGGCCAGCCACCTCAACCCCACCTTTACCGGCATCATAGCAGCGTCCTCCGCTGGGTCAGGCCCTAATTAGCGTGAGGAGGAATGTGGGCGTAGGTGTGGGCTGTAAATGTGTGGCAGCACCCCCTCCCCCACCGCGGCCAGAGCAGGTGCGCTGCCAGAGGCTTGCTGGCTGGGCTGAGGCTCGGGTCTGAGCTGGGTGTGACTGATCCTCAGCAGTAGATGGGGTGCCCTAGGTGGACAGGGCACCCTAGGCGGACGGGGAGGCCTAGGTGTTCTCTCAACCCACCTGACGGGCCTCCTCCTACAGGGGGCTTCGCCACCTTCTCCTCCTGCTTCCCCGGCCTCTGTGAGGGCAAGCCTGCTGCCCTGCTACCCATGAGCCTCTCCCAGCCCTGCCTGCCTGTGCCCAGCGTGGGCCTGACCCGCATCCTGCCTCACCTCTACCTGGGCTCGCAGAAAGACGTCCTGAACAAGGTGTGTGTGCAGTGCACTTGGGGGGCGGTCAATGGGAAAGGGGCAGGAGCTCCAGAGGCAGCTTGGCAGCAGCGTGGGGGATGAGGGAGGAAAGGAGCTGAAGGCAGTGGATGAGCTGGGTGTGGGAGAAGCATGGGTGGGGGCCCAGGAGGACCCCAGGTTCCCCACCCCTGCCCCCGGCAGGACCACAGCAGGGCTTGGGGGAGGGCCCAGCAGGGCTTGGGGGAGGAGCGGGAAGCTGGCATGCCAAGCTTCGGATGTCACTGGGCCCCTGTCCAACTCTGAAAGAATCCCGTGTTTTAAACATGGTGACGAGGGAAAAGGGTAAAAGCCACCACCCAGGCAACCATAAAATTCCTAGGAGCCCACCACCGGCCATGGGTGGGGCCTGCAGATGGAGGCCAGCCATGCCCCCACCCCCCGCACAGGCCCAGGGTGCCAGGGTGGACCAGAGAGGCCTCCTGGGCCCACCCCTGGATACACTGGGATCCGGGACAGGTTCCAAGGCTCCCAGGACCACCCCAGGATTCTGAAGGCCCTCCTGACGGCAGGGCAGGAAAAGCCTCCGCCTTCACTCCCGCCCCCAGCTTCTCCCACCCCTTTCCAACCCGTCCTCCCGCCCCTCCAGGATCTGATGACGCAGAATGGAATAAGCTACGTCCTCAACGCCAGCAACTCCTGCCCCAAGCCTGACTTCATCTGCGAGAGCCGCTTCATGAGGGTCCCCATCAATGACAACTACTGTGAAAAACTGCTGCCCTGGCTGGACAAGTCCATCGAGTTCATCGGTGAGCCTGTGGCGGGCGGAGGGCGGGGGCCTGGCTAGAGGAAGGCTAGAGCTGGGCGTGGCCACAGGCACAGGAGGGGTCCCGGGGAAGTAGCCCGAACTGTTGGCAGTCGGGCAGGTGGGGTCCCCTCCCTGGGCCAGGGAGAAGCTGTGCAGGCTTAGCCCTCACCTGGCCCCCATGGCCCACCTGCCCAGATAAAGCCAAGCTCTCCAGCTGCCAAGTCATCGTCCACTGTCTGGCCGGCATCTCCCGTTCTGCCACCATCGCCATCGCCTACATCATGAAGACCATGGGCATGTCCTCCGACGACGCCTACAGGTACCGCCTTCCCCAGTCACGCGCTTGTGACTCACGGCGTCACCTGCCTTCCCTCGGCTGCCCAGTTGCACCAGAATGGCCCCACCGTCCAGGACCCCTGGCAAGGGAGGAGGGCCTGAGACCAGCCTGGCGCACATGAGCTCATGGGTGCCCAGCGGGTGACGTCAGGTGGGCAGCCCGGCCCTGGCGGGCGCCTGGGACTAAGCCTCTCCCCCCACACCCCACGCAGGTTCGTGAAGGACAGGCGCCCATCCATCTCGCCCAACTTCAACTTCCTGGGCCAGCTGCTGGAGTACGAGCGCAGCCTGAAGCTGCTGGCCGTCCTGCAGAGCGACGCGGGCACCCCCTCAGGGACGCCGGAGCCCCCGCCCAGCCCTGCCGCCGGGGCCCCGCTGCCACGGCTGCCACCACCTACCTCAGAGAGCGCTGCCACCGGGAATGCGGCTGCCAGGGAGGGCGGCCTGAGCACGGGCGGGGAGCCCCCCGCGCCCCCCACGCCCCCCACGCCCCCGGCCACCAGCGCGCTGCAGCAGGGCCTGCGGGGCCTGCACCTCTCCTCGGACCGCCTGCAGGACACCAACCGCCTCAAGCGCTCCTTCTCGCTGGACATCAAGTCGGCCTACGCCCCCAGCAGGCGGCCCGACGGCCCCGGGCCCCCCGACCCCGGCGAGGCCCCGAAACTCTGCAAGCTGGACAGCCCATCGGGGACCGCGCTGGGCCTGCCCTCGCCCAGCCCGGACAGCCCCGACGCCGCACCCGAGGCGCGCCCACGGCCCCGCCGGCGACCCCGGCCCCCCGCCGGCTCCCCCGCACGCTCCCCCGCGCACAGCCTCGGCCTGAACTTTGGCGACGCGGCCCGGCAGACTCCGCGGCACGGCCTCTCGGCCCTGTCGGCGCCCGGGCTGCCCGGTCCTGGCCAGCCAGCCGGCCCCGGCGCCTGGGCACCGCCGCTCGACTCCCCGGGCACGCCGTCGCCCGACGGGCCCTGGTGCTTCAGCCCCGAGGGCGCGCAGGGGGCGGGCGGGGTGCTGTTTGCGCCCTTCGGCCGGGTGGGCGCCCCGGGACCGGGCGGCGGCAGCAGCGACCTGCGGCGGCGGGAGGCAGCGAGGGCTGAGCCCCGGGACGCGCGGACCGGCTGGCCGGACGAGCCGGCCCCGGAGACGCAGTTCAAGCGCCGCAGCTGCCAGATGGAGTTCGAGGAGGGCATGGTGGAGGGGCGTGCGCGCGGCGAGGAGCTGGCCGCCCTGGGCAAGCAGGCGAGCTTCTCGGGCAGCGTGGAGGTCATCGAGGTGTCCTGACCCCTCCGCTGCCCTCGGCTCCGCCGCCCGCAGCCGGGCCCGTTATAAATATATATTATATATAATGCAAAGAAAGGTAAATGGTTTTACTGGGATTTTTATCGAGAAGTAAATATTTCCATTTTTTATTTATTTAAGCTGTTCATTCTGGCAATGATTTGGCAACAGTGCGGGTGGTCCTCGAGCTCTATTTTTACTGTCCGGTATTTAAACTGAAACACACGTTTCTAAGCAATACGAGGCCACCTTCAGTCGCAAGCTGGGTGCCAGGCCTGGGGCCCCTCCCAGTTCCCCCGCCCCGGGAAACCCTGCTGACCTTTGCAAAGGCTGCCGAGCTCTCGTGCACTTTTTACATAAGAAAAAGGTGAAAAAAAGGAAAAAAAAAAAAAAAAAAAAAACTTCTTTGCCACAAACTGAGCCGCAGAACCTCCCTTCTTCCCCCACCCACCTCTCCTGCTCTCTCCCTTCTCTGCGCCAGCCTAGGGCTCTGCACCAAAGCCATAGGTTGGGGGAGCAGGAGCTGGTGTGCCCCGGAGCGGTGCGGCCAACCCTCCACCAGCTCCAGGCGCCAAATCTTGGTGGCAGGGAGGGCACCCCACTGCCTGTTGCCCCAGAGCTGTTCCCTGGCAGGGGAGGACAGGCATTAGGCCCCATGGTGCCGGGGTGTTCAGAGAGGCTGAGGAATAGAACAGTGTGTAGGGGCTTGGGGCAGCGGGTTCTGGAGTGTCAGATGAGGTGGAGGCCAGGGGAGGACAGGGGTGTTAGTGCCCCCAACTCCTGCCAGAGCCCCAGTCCAGCCACAGAGTGGCTCAGCAAGGCCATTAAGAGGGCTCCCTTCTCCCTTGCCCATGCCCCTAGAGCTGCCTCTCGGGCAGGGCGGCACCACTGCAGGAGAGGAGCTTGGCCTCTGGGAGTCAGGCAGGAGGGGCCTGGCTAGCCAGTGCTGGCTCCACTGGGCAGGGAGCCCTGGACCCCCAGGTATGAGGAGGGGGTGGGCTTAGAGTCCTGTTCCAGGTCCGTCCCCCACCTAGCAAGGCCCCAGGCGGAACTTGGAATTCGGCCTGCAGGCCGAGGGGCTCCACAAGCAGGTGCTGCTCGCACAGGGAGTTCAGGCGCCAGCCAAGCCCCTGTGCTTCTGTGGTAGGCCTGCTTCACTTAGGGAGCGCTGCCTCAAGGCAGATAAAGCTCCCTTGTTTGCCCCGACACCCATGGGGGCCTCTCAAGAGAGAAACTCCCGTTCACCCCTTTCCCAGGGCACTCGCTCTCTAGGTGGCATGCCAGCCCCCAAACACAGGTGGCTTTTGGGCCCAGGTGGGTCAGCCTGCTGCCCCTGCCCTATACCCTCTCAGGCCGTTGGGACCCCTGCCCTTCAGATGTCCAAGGGTCTAGGAGTGGGGCCAGTCACCATGAGAAGAGGCCAAGGGCTTGGCAGGAGAGGCGGCCCAGGTAGGACCCAGTCCTGAGTCCAGAGCAGGGCCAGGGAGGTGCCCACCCCGCCCCGGCCAGCCGCCCTCTCTCTTGTTTCTTCTATTTGTTCTTCTTTTCACCCACAGCCCTGTGTGTCATCCCTCCTTTCAGCAAAAGTCCTGTTCCCCTTCCCTCTGTCCCCACCCACTCCTGTTCCCCAAGAAAATAAGCTATCATTGTTGTATTTGCAATCTATGGATTAGAGGTTTAAGTATTTATTATTATTGGTTAATTATTATTAATTATGTAAATTTGCCTCCCGTCTGTCTGTTGCATTGGGTTTCTGAGGAGGCCCTGGGTGAGGAGGATGCACTGGCTCCCCGCTTCTCGCCCCCCACCCCTGTGCTGTCCAGGAGGCAGTGGTCCGGGGCCACTGGTTGGGCCCCCCTCCTCCCCTCCCCTTGTCCCTTCTCCAGGCTGTGTGGGGGGGTGGTCCTGTCTGTCTCAGTCTGTCCCTGCTCCCACTCTTGAGGCACTGGTCACCCCAAAGTGAGCTGCCAGGGTGGGGAAGAAGGTCCTGTGTTGGCCACTGCCTCCTCCAGTGCTGCGGGAGGCGGGCTGGGGCCCCACCTGATGGCTTTCTCCCCACTGGGCCCTGAGTCCTCTCCAAGCCTCTCTCCCACCCCTCTCACCCGGCCACTGCCTGGCATTGGGATCGCCCCACAATGGACCCGGCCCCTCCTGTTATTTGCTGGGAAGTCCAGCGGAGGAGAGGGTGCAGGTCCCCCGCCGAGCCTCCAGTCTCTGTGGACTGGGCTGCCGGCCCTTCCGCACCCCCTTAGAGCCCCTCCCGCCGCGGCTGCACCTTCCGCTCCGGGCCCCTCCCTTTGTATTTGGAGACAATGTGTTGTAATAAAGCTTAAAGTGGATGTTTTCCCCACGACTCCCTGCCTCTTCCTTCAGACTGGCGGTGGGCAGGGTGGGGGCAGAGGCTGCTGGGAGGCAGGCCTGAGGCCAGGAGCCCGTGTGTTGGGCCTGGAAACTTGCCCCAGGTTCACACCGTGGGTGGGCTCAGAATAGTCCCTGAGGGCCAGGCATGGGCACAGGTCCTCAGCTGCACCCTTAGGGTGTAAAACACACTTTTTTTGGTGGTTACATGCTAGTAAAAGCTTAAATAACTTGAAACGATATAAAATCTCAGTGTTACCCACAACTCCCCTCACTCCCACAGTCCCAGCGTGAACAGCTAGAGGCTTCCCTCCCGGCCCCTCCATGTGTGCTGTGTGCATGTGTGTGGGTGCATGTACGTACCAGCAGAAATAGGGGTCTAGTTACCTTTAGTGTCTCCAACCAGCGTTTTTTTTGTTTTGTTTTGTTTTGTTTTTAGATGGAGTCTCGTTCTGTGGTCCAGGCTGGAGTGCAATGGCGCGATCTCCATCTCCCGGGTTCAAGCAATTCTCATGCCTCAGAGTCCCAAGTAGCTGGGATTACAGGCATGTGCCACTACACCTGGCTAATTTTTGTATTTTACTTTAGTAGAGACGGGGTTGCACCATGTTGGCCAGGCTGGTCTCAATCTCCTGACCTCAAGTGATCTGCTTGCTTTGGCCTCCCAAAGTGCTGGGATTACAGGCGGGAGCCACTGTGCCTGGCCTCCAGCTAGCTTTTCAAATCTTAAGTAATGTGCACACCATACAAGGATCAAAAGTACACCAGGGTATGCGGTAGAAAGTACTGGTTTGTCTCCCCCAGGCTTGTACCCAGCCTCCAGGGTCCTCTCCCTGGAGGCAGCCCCAGCCAGACCTGCAGAGCCCCCCACCCCGAGGGCAGACCTGGCTGCTGCAGGTGCCACAGGCTGCAAAGATTCACAGTGTGCATGCAGCCCAGAGTGAGGCTTGTCTACACTGCAGTGGAGGATACCAGATATGTCCTCACCACACAGACCTCTGGTTCATGAAGCTTCTTCCAGGTTTAGCATACCTATCCCAGGGACCCCTCCCAACCAGTGACACTGTCCAGACCATGTGTGTGTGAGCGCTCATGAGATGGGAAGAAGAGGAAGCAAGACAAGGGAAGAGGAGGGGACCAGCCCCTCCTTGGGGGCTGCAGGAGGAGGTAGGGTCCTTGAATCCTGCATCTTTAAGAGTCCTCAAAAAGGAGGAAAGCTAGAAACATAGTCTGATGCTCCCACAAGGCTATTTTTGGCTCAAGAACATCTATTTATAACTCTGGCAGCCCCTAGCAGTCAATAAAACTGAGGCCTGGAAAGAGCTGATGGCTGACTCAAGCGGCACCGAGGTGCTCCCCTACCCCTTGTGCACAGGAGCACCTGCAGCTCCAGGAGGTGGGTGACAGGGCCTCTCCTAGGATGCCCATCTGGGGGCACATAGGTCTCAGGACCCTGGGGGCAGTGTAAGATTCCAGATGGAAGGAGGGATCTCATTTACCAACTCAATCAGGCTCCTAGAGGTCCAAGAGCTGCCCAAAGTAGGTGGTGAAGCAAGAGTGAACACTGGTGGACGGCCTCCAACTGCTACACAGAGTCCCCTAAAGGCTTGATGCCCTGTCTGCACTTGTGTCTCCCCCCAGGACAAGGGCTTTAGTTGCTGGATAGGTCTTGGATGGGTAGGTAGATGGGTGGATGAGGGAGGGAGACATGGATGGATGGATAGGTGAATTTATGGATGGGCAGATGGATGAATGGTGGATGAATGGATGGATGGGTGGATGGATGGGTGGGTAGATGGGCAGATGGATGAATGGGTAGAGGGATGAGTGGGGTGGGTGGGTGGGTAGACGGATGGATGGATCTATGAATGGGTGGATGGGTGGGCAGATGGATGAATGGGTAGATGGATGAGTGGGGTGGGTGGATGAATGGATCAATAGGTGGGGGGATAAGTGGGATGGATGGATGGATGGATGGGCAGATGGATGAATGGGTGGAGGGATGAGTGGGGTGGCTGGGTGAGTGGATGGATGGATGGATGGATGGATGGATGGATTATGGATGGATGGCAAATGGATGAATGGGTAAGGGATGAGTGGGGTAGGTGGGTGGATGGATGAATGGGTGGAGGAATGAGTATGATGGATGGATGGATGGATGGATGAATACATAAATGGGTATTTATAAATAGACAAGTGGATGGGTGGCTAGTGAGTAGAAGGACAGGAAGGTGGACAGATGGATGGATGGGTGGATAAGTGGGTGGATAGGAGGTGGATGGATGGGTAAATGAGAGGGAGGGAGGGAGCAAAGGTGGGTGGGTGATAATATTATATTGCATTAGTTGCACTTCTGTTAGTCTTATATTAAAGCTGTGTGCTTACCTCCATTCTCCATTGGACTGCAGACGGGCACCTGGTCTTTGCATACAGAAGGCAGTGAATATCCAATGAATAAGCCACATACTAACTGTCTTGGAGCGGGACATCAAAGGAGAGACTCTCTCCAAGGCCCAGGGAGAGGAACAGGTTTGGTCAATGTCCCTTAGAGGGTCACGGGCCACGTTGGGGCTGGGCTTGGTTCCTGGTCTCTCAGGCACCATTCCTCTGCCTGCCGAGCAGTCCCTGGAAGTGAGCTGGAGGCCGGTCTCAGTGGCACCCCTGCCAGCTGCCACTGTACTCCTGTGGATGGACTTATCAAGGCCCTTCCGGGGCTCAGAACTGAAGAGACTCTGAGCAGGAGAAAGGGCTGAGGGCCAGTTCTCAGGAAGACTTCCAGGAGGAGAGTTTTGGGCTCTGAAGGCCAGGTTGTGTTTGGAGGGGCATGTGGGGCAGGAGGACGTTGCAAAGGTCCACAGCGTGGGAGAAAGGGCAGAGGTAGGAGCGCCCTGCGGGGAGCCAGGCAGAAGCTGAAGGCCTCTGGCCAAGGCAAGGCCTGATGAGAAGAGGGTGCAGCTCGATGGGGCTCTGAATGGCAGGTGGTCTGGGGGAGTGTCTGAGAAGAGTGGTTCTTTGGGGGCAAGATGGAGGGAGGACTTGCTATTAAGGGGAAGCCATGGAGTCTTTGAGGGGCCTATACAATGGACACCAGCAGAGGGTGCCCCTACCTCCCTGGAAGGGCACAGGGCACGGGGCAGGACCTGGACAGAGGGTGGGAGAGGAGGGGCTGATTAGGAGCCTCTCAGCAGAGCTTCACAACAAATGCCTCGTATGGGTGGTGGGAGCACATGGGGAAACTCAATTATCCCTGCAGGCAGCTGGGGCTCGGGGGCGCAGTCCCTCCAGATAAAGCACAGCCTTCTGGTCCGGGGTGAGGGCCAGAATAAACCACATACTAACTGTCTTGGAGTGGGACGTCACAGGAGAGACCCTCTCCAAGGCCCAGGGAGAGGAACAGGCTTGGTCAATGTCCCTTAGAGGGTCAGGGGCCAAGCTGGGACTGGGCTTGGTTCCTGGTCTCTCAGGCACCATTCCCCTAGACCTCTAAGGCAGCCCACAGTCCCAGGCCCCACTCCTGTCCCTGAGAATAGGGCTTCTGGCTTAGGAGCCTCTATGGAAGACACTAGGCCCTGAAGGTGTGATGATGGCTTGTTTGTGAAACGAGCGGCCCCTGACTGTGAGGACCAGAGCTTAGAGGGGATCCTGGTGGGATGAGGGGAACATGCGTGTGCCTCCCACCCCCAAGCAGGGTGATGCCAGGGCAGGACTTCGCCAAACACTAGGCAGGTGCATGGATGGACGCCCTTGGGTCCTTCCAAACTGAGCAGGGAGACTTTTCTTGCTTCAGAACCTTTCAATGTTCCCCTCCAGAGGGGCTGAGATGGGGGTGGCCTCAGGGAGGGAAGGGGTATGGGAGCTGAACTGGAGTTGAGTGAGAAGGCTGGGGAGACAGAGGCCTCAGTAGGGGGTTGAGAGGAGAGGAACTCAGTGAAGGACCTTCATTCTGGAAGGTGGGGGACGGGGAGCAGGTGCTAGGCCCAGGGGCATCTCTCCCAGTCTTTGCAGACACCACCGTGAAACCAAGGAACAGTGGCCTGTCCCCAGGGAGCTCCCAAGAGGAAGCTCTGGGAAGGAAAGGGGAAGACGCACTTACTCCTTCCCCGCCAGGAATTCTGCTCCCCCGACCAAGTCCAGCGCCCTCCCACTTTGCCTCAGCACCTGCACCCTCAAGGCTGAGCGCACCTGCAGAACGCACTCCGGCCCCCCACACACCTGGGGCCTCCGACCAGGACCTCGCAGGTCAGGTGACTGCCCGGGAAGGGTAGGGGTATGTGGGGGGACTGGTGGCACCAATGGCATCGCCGGCCGAAGCCTGCCCCTGACTGACGCAATTGCCGGCCGTCGCAGCTATAAATAGCCAAGGAGAGCTGGAAATAGAAGCCAGGGAAGGGCCAGAGGCGGGTGGAGGGAGGAGCTTGGACTTGAGCACCTGATGCCAGAGGAAGAAAACAAAACTCCATTCTAGGGCTCCCCTCCCCCATCCCGCCCCAGCCTAGAGGGGCGTTTGCACCCGGAAACGTTTGGGGAAGCAGGGTGAAGTCAAGAACCTGCCCGACAGTGGGCGGGGCCTCCCTGCCGCGAGGGTCGGGGCGGGTGGAGCCCGCCCTGGCCACAACCCCCAGTCTTCTGCTCTGGGTCATCTGCAGGGCAGTGGCCCCTCCTGATGTCCGCCCGCCCCCTCCCCCAAGCAGAAAGAGATTCCGGTGCCTCTCCAACCTCCCCACCCCACTCCCTCCGTCAAGCTCCTGGCCCAGGAGGCCCCCGACAGCCCTGGAGCACAGGCCCGATTGGCGACATCAGAGGACACTAGGCCTGCCCAGCGCCTGGCCTGTGGGGGCGGCGTCCTGGGGCAGGAGGGGGGCTTGTGGGGCAGTTTTTGTATCTTTCTCGCCCAACCCGACCCTCCGGCCAGCAGCGGGAATGGGGCTCAGTGACTTTGCCGCCCTGGGACAGGGCGCACTGCAGCCAGTGTGGAAGCCAGACCCGG